CGTCCCTTCACATACAATGATGAGGCTTCTTACCAAATCAATGGTAAGATAGTAACATCTAAAGGAGGAGGAAAAGAATACTAGACCTATTGAGTAGGAAGGATGCTCCTAGTTATTCACTTGCTCACAACAAAAACATTTTATACACCAACACTTTCATTTTGAAACATTTTCAAAAGGCAAAGATTTTTGTATGCGTTCTTATAGAAATGAGAGCCATTACAAAGACACTTTTCAAAATCACTTTCAAAAACACATTCGACAAACACCTCTTTGAACTATTTTCAAAATAACACTTTGTACGCGTTCTTATAGAAACGAGAACCATTACAAATACGTTTTCAAAATACTTTCAAAAATCACACCACAAGCACATTCTCAAACAAAAGCAAGTGATCTAGCAAGCAACTAAGAGCCCTTAGATAACTACGGATGAAGAAGGTGTTAATATCTTCCCTTTTCATAACCTACCCTCCAAACTCAAGAAATAATCTCAAAAGGTCTTTCCTGTTCTTTTCAACCTTTCTTTATTGGATAAAAGAAAATTTGGTGGCGACTCTTGCTATCCACAATGATTGCAATCAAACGCAAAACACCCAAGTCAGTTCTCCTACCGTATTACAGGTATTTTCGGAGATGTATTACCGAAACACTTTTTTTCAAAATCAGAGGTGTTTCAGAGATACATCTCTGAATTAGGGTATTACAGTAACAAATACGAACAACCAGCCCTCATTCTTATTTCTTCCAAATTCTAATTATCAAACACCCCAAAAATCTCCAAAATATTTACTTTCAAAACTCATTCAAGTTTGTCTGCTCATTTTCACTTGTTACAACTCACTCAAACTCTCAATTTCAACAACTCTAAAAGCTTCAAATTTGAGTAAGTTCTCCAATTCCTTTTAATCTTTGCATTTGTATTGTAAGTTGATTATATTATGTATAACCTATAAAAAGCTTGCTTTTATGTGTACAAATTGGATTTTAGTGTAAAAATGGTGATGTTAGGTTAGAGCTTTGATTATGGAAGTCGTAGGTTTTTTCGGAGATACATCTCCAAAAACCCCTCTGAGGAGTTTCGGAGATGCATCTCCGAAAATAGACTTGAGTTTTTTATTTTTTATTTTCAAACATGTTCTTGTTCGTTCGCTTCCCTTTGATTAACGATTATTCATTTTTCCAGAAAAATGGCAAAGAACCCCAATAGATTGAGACTTGGTAGGCCTAGCCAAATTGCATTCGCTCGACGCGAGAGAGCTGGGAAGACTACGAGCGTCAAGGACGCAGTTGGATACCGCGGGAAGAAGTGGAGGGAACATCGACTTCTGCTCCAAGGAGTCAGCTTTCACGTGAGTCCTCGTATAGGGATTACGAGGAGGAGAAATCCGAGTGGGTTCAGGCTCCAGAATCCAAAATGGTTGATGTTCTAGAAGTCGAGGAGGAGGCTATCCCGGGTTTCCAGGAGGGCCGTCTGACACCTCCCTCTTGATCTATCACACTAATCACGTCGCTCGATATGTTTCAGAGGGACATATATATTAATTTTTGTTACACTTTTTATTTTAATCATTTACGCACTAATATGTTAAAATTGATATTAATTATTTATCTTTACATGAACGACTGCCACTAAAGTGCATGAACCATGCGCGAAAGGTATCCGAGTTATATCATCCTGATGAGGATTGGTTCAGAGAGGCCATTTTTTCCTCTAAACTTGTCGGCCTTTGTTGTTCTGGTTATAACACCATTAGCCATGACATGCAGGGGGCATTTGTCGAGAGGTGGCACACATAGACATCATCTTTCCACTTTCCTGTTGGGGAGATGACGATCACACTTGATGGCGTCACCTGCTTGCTACACCTTCCTATCAGAGGGAGGTTACTTAACCACTCACGAATTGATCATACTGATGCGATTGAATGAATGATTGACTATCTAGGAACTGAACCAGAAGAGGCATTTAAGCAGTGTTTCTCCACCAATGGGGCTCATGCTAAGTTCTCATTCCTTAAGAATCTATATCACCAACACCTCTTTGTGGAAGAAAATTCCGAGTCAGAGGGAGACAACTTCTTTGTTCTTTATCACCGTTAGTGTGCTCTGAGGTGTTACTTCATGTTCTTGGTTGGCACGTCCATTTTTATGAACAAAAGCACCAACTACGTGGATGTAGAATACCTCCAGTACTTCAAGGGTTTGGATACAGTGAGGGAGTGGAACTGAGGGACCGGCTGTTGGATATACATGTACCAAAAGTTGAATGAAGCCTCTAACTAGAGGACACGATAACTGACAGTCTCTACTACACTACTGACGATAATTATCACTCTAACTATTAAATTTATTTTTCTATTAATAACTATAATTTGTTCTTACACGAGTCTTATTCGTTTTCAGGGCTTAATCATTTATCACTTCCACCGCATCCATGGTTTTGAGTTGGATATGCAGTATAGTGAGCACAAGTCAAGGGCTACTTGGTATGTCCTCCACAGAGGGAACCAGGTTGTGCCGCCGTCCTGGGTGTATCTGGATCAGACTATCCATGATGACATCCTATGGACGCCGTTCGAGGATCACCAGAAGATTATTCAGTTCGACTCTATCTCACTGTACTATGGATGGCTGGCATGTGTGACTAACACTATGGTCAGATATTTGCCGGAGCGATGCATGTGACAGTTTGGCTATGTGCAGACCAAACCCAGATCTCCCTTTCAAGATGCTCCCGACACCTTTGTCCATCGGGAGCTCGATGGCATCTTCTAGGATTGGGAGAATCATATGGTGACATAAGAGTATTGGATGATGCAGGCATCCAACAGTTGACACTATGTTGAAGGATATGTGACATGGTTCTACACAGTGTCACATCCTATCATGACACCAGATACTCTTGGAAGTCCACCTAGGCTAGCTCATGAGGAGATCTTAGAGAACCAGGAGGCCAAGGATGACCATGCCATTGATCTATTATTGATCTATTAGCGGATACAAATGATTGGGCGGGAGGCTTTGAACATAGGTATCATTGACCGGTGGTGGTCCTACGCTGGTGACCATTGTAGAGAGGATGGTTAGGGAGATAGAGAGTGCGGCGAGATACAATAGACAAAGGAGGGGCCAAAGAGTGAGGATTAGGCATACGTAGTAGGTTATGTCTTTTTATATATATTTATTTTAGAACAATTTATGAACTACTTATTTTTTTTTTATTTGAAACAATTTATTCTATCTATTATTATTTTTTATTTCTTATCATTTTTCATTTGCATTTTTATTATGGTTTTCATCTAATTATTTATCAACACATTGGTAATTTTAAAATAAAATATCACTATCCAAGGTTTTCAAGATGTAGCTATGAAAGAATCAAATCTGGATGTTCCGGAGATGCATCTCCGAAAATATCACTATATGTTTAAATATAATGTCCAAGTCCAAACAAATTTTATTTGGAGATGCATCTACGAACCTCTTTGATTTGGGGTGCGTTTGAAGATGCATGTTCGAAGAATATTTTCGGGTTTTAAAGCATTTTTCCCCACCCATAAGAGTTGTACAGAAAAATTTCCTTCTCTTTCTCACTCTCTCAATGGCACCACCTTCGCCGGAAATCGCCGCTGTCACGACAGAAATCTCTTATGGCGGCGGCGCAGCCTCGAACCTCATAAACCTCAAACCAACCTTTTCAACTTTGCATCCTGAACCTATTTTGTCCCTCAACATCTACCCTAAACCCCTAAATCACCTAAAATCATGGTTTAGAACAAAACTTAATTTTTAAACGATCCTAAAATAAACACCAGCCATGGATGAAATCAAGATAATAGATTAGGGTTTCTACTCAAAATCTCAAGTAGATCAACATGGTAACAAGCATAATGCGTAAAGAGAAGGAGATGAATGAAGGACCTACCCACGGGGACGAGGATCTCTTCGGTTCTTGTTGATTTCATTAGCGTGAAGAAAAATAAGAGAAACCCAGAGATGAATCTTCACTTGTCTGATAAACTTTTGCAACTTTTCTTCTTCTTCTCCCTTTTTATTTAATTTCTATGATATGTAATATTCTTGATTGTTGTTCTTGCTGATGAAGTAGAATAGATTAGATAGGATGTAGAGATCATAGTAGAATTAAAGAAGTATTGGATAATGATAATGGACTGAGCAATAAGTTGAGAAAATGAAGATAATGATGGGGTTGAGCTCTACTCCAGTGAAGCTTCAATGTGAAGCTTTGATGGAGTATTTTGAAGGAGCTTTTATGTGAGGGGTGAGAGATGGAGATAATTTAGCAAAGTTTCTTTAGGGTAAAAATTGCTTGTCAATGAAGGTAATGGTGAGGGCTGTTATAGAATTTGTCACTCAATTCAAGCCATTTGATTGAAGAGAGTTGGTTAGAGATTGGAAGGAGGAGATTAAGTTGTTTAGAAGTTGGAGGGTAAGTTAGTTATAGGCTAGGGTTAGGTGTGGAATGAAATTTGGAGGGAAATTGTGAACATGGGTAAAATGGTATTTGCATAGGTGCCATGTGGCAAACTGTTATGGGTTCAGTTATAGAGTTTTTGGGGTTTGTTATTGGATGTCTCAAAGTTAGTTGTTTTAGTTCAATTGGTAGTTATAGTGTGAAATGGATTTATGGAGGGAAATTAGACTTGAGGGAAAAATGATCATTCTGTTGTGCCACGTGGCAGGTTTGTTAGCTGGCAATTAAGGCCTGTCTCAAAAATCATTTATGGTTGGTTAGTGAGGTTAAAGGTTAGTGGTTAATACTTAAGAGTGAGGTGAATTGTGTTAAATTGGTTGGAAACTGAAATGAGATCTTTTGAGTGTTTCTAAACTTGAATCAGATGACATAATTTGCTTTAATTTGACATGTTGAGTTGTGAACTGAAACCTGCAATTTGAATGTGTGAGAGTAGCGTTTTGTTTGAGAAGTGTTATAGGTGAATTTTTGTTATTGATTAAATATATAAATGAATAGATATTTAGGATATGGCTGCTAGGTTAAGGACCTCTTTTCTGAATATTGTATGAGCTCTGGATATTGGACTGACTGGTGCATATGTGTCATTTTTGTATTGAATTGAATGGCACTGAGATGTGTTTTTTGGAACGAATATGAATGCACAGCTTGTCATGCTATGGTCTGACTGAATTGAATAACGCATTATGCATGATGTTGTGATGAATGCATGAGTTTGTCTTGTGAATGATGGCACTTGGAACTGCATTGGTTTTGATATCACATGACCATTTTCTTCTGTATTGTATGTGTATGCCTTTGTTTCTGTTTTCCTTCCTTGGTTAGGGCTTCCCTTTGTTTTGGACATCTCTTGAATGCTTGGTTGAATGCATGTAGGATATGACACCTTCATTTGTTTGAATAATTGCTTTTGACCATGGTTCCATGCATTGTAATTGTCATGACTTAAAATCTGTTATGAGGCATATGGATTTGGAATTGGTGTATGGATGATCATTGGTTTATTCACTTGTGGATTGTTACAATGCCTTGATTCATGTTTAGCTTATGTTATTTGGCAGTGGGCTGAAGATATATTGTAACAGGCTGTAGATTTATAGGTTTACAGGTGGTGCATTGGTTTCTTGATGCAGGTTTTTGTACTGCTGCAAGCATGTTATTGTGCTTATGGAATCACATGGTGCATTTGTTTGGTCTTTTATGTAGGGTAGCTGCAGTTTTACATGGACATGGCTTAACTGCAACATGTTGACACAATACATATGCACATGGTATATGAAGGTGCATACATGATGATTTTGGCAATATGAAATCAAGGCTAGATGATAGCAAGGTGGAAGTTGAAGAACAAGTCAAGAGTAGCATTAGAGTTAGTGTAAGGACTTTGGTCAACTATTTGACCAAAAAGGTCAACAGCTGACCAAAAGTCAACTGTAGTCAAATATGGATTTTTTAAGTCGTTTTCAAGGATGTAATGTATTTGTAAATGGATTCTTGGCATTTGGTAATGTAATTGACTTTGAACAATGCAACTTGGCTATTGAAAATATAATGTTTACTTTTTATGAATACTTTGACTTTTGCATTGTTTCTTGACTTCCAAGTAACATGAATCCTTTGTAATCTTCCACATTTGAATGGACAAACACCAGTTATGATGATAACCCAATAATCATGGTCAAAAATGAGTTTGGTAAAAAAGTCAACCACCCTTGGTTGACTTAGACCAAAAGTGAAAGTTCTTTCAAATGCTTTCAAATGCCTCTTTCCATCAATGATATACATCCATGACCAAAACTCTAACGAAGGTAGAAACCTTTAAAGCTCTAGGTCAAAAGTCAATTGTACTGTTGACTTTAACTAAAAAGTCAAATGTTACCTTTGAATCAATTTTTCAAGCAAATACTATGAAACCTTTGTATTTTGCGGATGATATCCTTGATTCAGATGAAAACCACATATTGCACAATAAGAAATAAAAAGACTAAACCCTAATTTCCTGATGAAAATCTAGCCTTGAGTTACACAGTCGAAATCCAATGTATCTAAGGATCTTTAAACCAATGCCTATGAGTGTATGCAAATGAATGATTCCTAATGAAAAATGAATACCTTAGGTTAGAAGAAAATGAATAAATTGTACAAAGTCTAATACAGATGAAATAGAGAAAGGTAGGGAAAATTTGGGGTATGACAATAGTCGTGCGCGCGCATTTGATAAAAAAAATGAACATATTTAAATGATCTATGCAGAATGAAGTTTAATAAAAAATTTCAGAAAAGATAAAAATGTAAATAAAAATATCGGGTTAATCAGATTTTGACAGGTAAAAATGTGATCGCAAACAACATCAGAAAATAAAACGAGCATACAAACACGACCTCACGCAGCTTTGATTCATAAAATAGTCGGGTACATGTCAAAACTCGAAATATTTCGCCCGCTAATTTTATGCACATTGTCGAATCACTTCGATCGGTCAACCTGTAGAACTGAAATTTTATTCTGATGACCTTGTATTGACTTAAAAATATGCACGAGGCGATGAAAATGCATGAAATGCAATTGAATCAATTTTTGAATTTAAAACGGAATGAAAGTTGACTGAATTTTGAATTTTATCAAAATAATGAATGATTGACTGAAGTATGATGCAAATGAAAAATTCAGGGTAAAATTTAGGGCATGACACCAATCACCCATATCGTAGATTGCAGAAGGCTTTTAATGAAGAATATGTGTTTGATATCGCTCCTAAGCCTTTAACAGAGAAGAAAGTTTATAAATGATAACAACATATTAATTTTGTCTTTGGAAAGAACCAAAAAGGATCCATTGAAAAAATATATAGAAAAAGAGGTCATTATTCTTTGATCTTCCATATTGGTCTAGCCTCGGTGTAAGACATTGTCTTAATGTAATGCATGTTGATAAAAATGTGTGTGAGAGTTTGATTGGAACATTTCTAAACATACAAGGAAAGACAAAATTGTAAGAATAAGATTTGGTTCTGCAATATTATCTCTGAGTTTTAATGATAACAAATGAGTATATTGTATGAAATTTTTTGTTGTACTAATGTTTGTTATTGTTGAGTATTTAACAAACATGTTCTGCTTCCGATGGATGGCGCGACCAATACATTAGAAGAGAATTGATTCCACTTCTATGCTACACAAGTTCTGTTGAACAATAGCAAGACACTCTAGAAGGCTCTGAGGTGTAAGACCTGATATTTGTTTAAAAGAAACAGTCAGAAGATCTGAAGACAAAAGTTGTTAGTTACATCTAGATGCTGAAGGCTCAAGCTTCTAAAGACAGCGTTCTAAGGAAACAATCAGAAGATCTGAAGACAGAAGTTGTCACTTAAGTCTAGATGCTGAAGACTCACGTTTCAAAAAGATAGTGTGTTTCAAAGAAACAAAGTTAGACGTTCTGAAGACAAAGTTTCTAATGAAGTTCAGATGCTAAAAGCTTAGTTTCAAAAATACAACTTGTTTCAAAGAAGACAAAAGTTAAAAGATCTGAAGATAACGTTTCTAACTAAAGTCTAAATGCTGAAGACTTTGTATTTCTAATAATAAGGTTCCAAGGATAAGAATTCTTAAAGAATCAAGTGCTAAATATTCTAAAGACAGAAGATGTGAAAATTCCAAATACTTGAAGTTCTAAAGGTCCAAGGTTATCTATAACAGGTTCTCAAGATCAAGTGTTGAAGACTCTAAAGACGCATCTCTTAAGACTCTAAAGACTTGAAACTCTTTTGATGCAAAGGTTCACTACAATAGGTTCTCATGACCAAGTGCTGAAGACTCTGAAGACGCAGTTCTGAAGACTTGAAGTTCTGAAGATCTTATGTTATATTCCTGCTTCTAATCTCATACTCGCAGAAGCCTCTGAAGTGCAGAAGGAAAGAATATAACGGTAACATGGTACAATAGTACATGGTACGAAAAAGCTTTATGCCACTACCTCTCCACTAACTTGAAGTGTGGAAGAGATAAGGACGCAATAGTACTATTTGTAACGACTCTTTTTCAAATAGCCAACGACTCTATTTTGCTTGACTATATAAGAAAAGAATCACATGTTTAAATCTGGTTGGTCAAGAAGAGAAAAATCACAAGATGAGCTTGTTGTAGGTTGCTTGGTTTGTTGCTCAAAGCTGAAAGTTGAAAGTCATAAGTTGTGGTGTTCAAATGCTAAAAAGCTATCATTATTAGAACACAACCAAAAAGCTATCATCCACTATAATAACATGAAGAATTCTACAAGATGTTATTCAATCTACCAATCATATACATCTTGGTATAATCATGAAAAAGCAAGGAGTTATTGCTCATATCTTGATTAATGAAGAAAGAAGATAAATATGAAGAATTCTACAAGATGTCATTCAAACTATCAATCATATATATCTTGACAGAATCATGAAGAAGCAAGGAGTTGTTGCTCATAGCTTGCTCATCAAAGAAGATGAAGACTGGAAGGCTACAAGATACTGCACTTAACTTAGATTATATTCATCTTTGTAGAAATATGTAAAACACAATAGTTGTTGTTTAGATTGTGTTATTTCTTAAGAACTTCATGTAAATTGTTTGTACACAAGAGTTATTGCTCAAAATTGTGTCAAATAATAAGTACTTAAAATTAGGAGTAATCTGCTTGACAAGAAGCACTCATGTAATATCTAGAAAAACAATTTTGTTTAGAATTGGTTGGTTCCTGTGTGATCGAGTGAAGAACAAAAGGCTTGAGAATACTTTGGCCGCGACCATTATAGATGAAATCCTGGTAGTAGATTCTATTGGGTCAATGGTAGTCACATCTCAAAGGGGATTGAGTGAAGGCCAGCCTTCTGAGATCATTGATGGATATCATTGGAAGGAAATCCTGATATGAGATTCTCGAGAATTGTATTCTGTTGGGTCAATGAACATTATGTCCAGTTTGGATCCCTGAACGCGTCATTAGATGTTAGTCACTTATGGGTTGCTTGTGCGATTGTAATTAGATTTGTTATACTGGACTAAGTCCTTGAGTTCAAGGAGAAATCACCTTGGTAGGGTAGACTGGACTAGCTTGGGGGTTTCTCAAGTGAACCAAGATATATCGCGTGTTCTTTACTTTTTCTTATGCTTTAGAGTTTATGTTTTCTTAACTTAATTAGAAGCATTACTTAGAAGTAACATTCAGAAGCATTGGTCATCGAACAATGCTTAGAAGCGAAAGTTATACAAGAAAGGAAAACTCAATTCAAACCCCCTTTTCTTTCATTTTCTTTACACCTTCAATTGGTATCAGAGCCAGGTTCTGTTATTGATGGATATCAAACACCTAACAGTGTCAGATAAAGATCCAGTTGCTTTGTGAAGAAATACTCTAAGGTGATAGTTATTCAATTTTCTACTACTGTCTAAAATAAAAAAATTGAAGAACAAGCTGGCAAGGAAAATTCACCAGATAAGAAGTTATATCTGTTGAATGCTTTTGATTAAGTTCCTTGAGAGTATGAGATATTTTAAAGAAACAAATTAGTCCACCTCTGATATTCTCATAAGATCTTATTAGGAATCTTTTCAAAAGAAGAAAGAATGTTGTCTTCTGATTTTGATACATAGGAACTTCATGAGGAAGTCTGCAGAAAAATGTCAAAAATCTTGAACAGAGAAATTCAAATATCTAAGAAATAATTTCTCCAAGTCAGAACATCTGACGCTTGTCTATTCAAGCAGATAGACGATCTTATGCAGAAGATCTAAACATTGGCTCTGTTGAAGGAGGCTTTGCAGAAGACCAGACATTGTTGAGGAAAGAATGCTCACTGACACATCAGAAGTATG